AAATTCACAGGGAGGAGAGGCCCTTCCTCTGCCCCGACTGTGGGAAGGGCTTCAAGCACAACTCCACCCTCGTCAGGCACCAGCGCATCCACACTGGAGAAAGGCCCTACAGGTGCTTGGAATGTGAGAAGAGCTTCAGCTCGAGCTCCCACCTGATCCGCCATCAGCACATCCACACAGGAGAGTGGCCCTATGAGTGTTCTGAGTGTGGGGAGAGGTTTCAGAGCAGCTCCAGTCTCCTCAGGCACCAGCGGATTCACACAGATGAGAGGCCCTATGAGTGTTCTGAGTGTGGGAAGAGATTTCAGAACAGCTCCAATCTCCTCAGGCACCAGCGGATTCACACAGATGAGAGGCCCTTCCGCTGCCCCGACTGTGGGAAGGGCTTCAAGAGAAACTCCACCCTCATCATCCACCAGCGCATCCACACCGGGGAGAGGCCCTATGAGTGTCCTGAGTGTGGGAAGAGCTTCTCAGACCGCTCTACCTTGGCCCGACACCGACGGAGGCACTGGTAAGGGAAGCCCTGTGAGTGCCCTGAGTGCAGGAAGAGTTTCATCCGCTGCTCCAACTTCATCCTCCATCGCAGGACCCAGTTTGGGAAGAGCCCTGTGACCCACATTCCCAGTGATCCACATTGGGAAGACACCTGACCCTTTCTCTGCCCCTGGGACTGATGTGAGGTAGGATGGAAGAACATGAGGGTCTGGCAATGGCCCTGTCATTATATCTGATCCCACCTCAGGTCATTGACAGGGCCAGGGAAAGGGAGTCTGTCTCTCTCCCAAGGGGAGAAGGATGTTCTTTAAGCACTGGAGAAAACATGTGTTTGGGAGGAGCCCATTGGTGTTGTCGCAGTTTTCCCTGTAAATTGTTTGTTTGTTGTTATCCCTTCTGTTATCGATATTGTTGCTGTTCCTGTTGGTTCCTTATCTCATTGCTGTTCCCAGTAAATTGTTCTTATCCCAGCTTGGGACCTTTGTCTTCTGTGCTTTCCATCAGAGGGGGAGTGGAGCGAGCGGCACCTCTGTTCTAGCGGGAGCACGAAATTGGGGGAAACCATTCCTAAACCCCAGCCTATGGAAACCGAGCATCCCAGCTGGT